AAGACTGGAAAGAAGCACTAGAATTGTATAAACATTTAGTTCACTATGCATATAAGGGAATTTGAATCTCTGCATGAATTATCATTGATTTTGTAGTTTACTTAGAAAGTTATGATTCATAGTTTATACAGATATACCATTTTGTGTATCTGAATCAACATACATTTATAGTTTCATATGCGATGAGGAAGAGATTAACGCCCCTGAATCATTATTAACACGTTTTATTTAATAATGAGTTTTAGCATGAATCATCAATTCACCGTGTACGAGAAATATGCATCCACACTTTACAAATGTTAGATGATGATGTCTTGACATCATAGTGTATACATTATCTACTACATGCAAACCTGATTATAATATTATATACTGCAACTGTGGGACATGTATGGAAGGTGATCATCATGGAAGGTGAATTGTATTTCAGAAAGCACATAATTTGTTTATATTGATGTCATTCTACTCTTTCCACTGACATGTGTAAACAACTATTTTACCAAAAGAAAATAAGAAAGGTTGTTTTCCAACACACTAAAGATAATGTTTTATTCAAGCAGTGAATACTTAATATACTTGTATTTGTATACTAAGACACAAGCCTGTAAACATATGCAACTGTAATTATGTAATTGATTAAAGGCACAATCAAAGTGTTTTTTTAATAAATAACATTGTTTGGCCTATCACATACTATAAGGGTCTATGTGAACCAACAGAAATATATAACATGGACTCCTAAAATCTAACATTTAGCTACTAACTATATAACAAATATACAATATAACTACTCTAGTATGTTTTACCATGTACACTGCATGTAAATATATTAGGCATAACCAAAACCTTTGGCGTTTGCAATACCAAATTCCATAGCATTCTTGAATTCATCGTACGTATTGTGAACAACTCGTAAGCTAAGAATACCAGCACAAGTATTGGCCTTTGGAAACTTTGAATGCATTTCATCTACTTCTTTCTCTTGAAGGAATTGTACTTCCTGTTGCAACCCGAAAACAAACTCACAACAGCCTGTGCTGAACATAAGAATTTGTGCAAGAGTTAGCTGAGATTCACTTTCTTGAACATCTTGTAGAAAATCTGCCCAGTGGGCAAGTACTCAGCTTTCTACATTATATGCATTTGATCCATTTTCACTTCTTGTAATAACAACCTTCTCGGATACTGCAAATGTCGCAGCAGTGAGTGGTACAGCCTCATAACAAAATGCTGGCTTGAAGACAGAGGGATACTCTTGGATTGCTGCCAGTACACCAAGGGTAGAGAATTGGTCTAGAGCTGTTTTTTGTTCTCCCAAATAGGTACCATTTGATAGTGTCCCGAATAATGTTTTACTTGTCATCTTCACTTTGAATGTGCTTCCATGTACCTGCAAGTTCTAGTAGATTTCCTAGCGTTCCGCTTATAA